GCATTAAGTAATTATAAGCAAGTCATCTGAACGTCACAATATTGAAGTGCTTCCTGTCAAGGCAATATCAGGATTTCAAATTTAAAAAAAAATGCATCCAAAAAACAATCTAGATCAAAAAAATTTTTTTTTAACTTCAGCTCCAACTTAATCATATTTTCACTGCAATAACAAAATACGCAATTTAGCTCATTGTGATAGAAAACTTTTAAAGCAATTTAATTATTTGTCTCCAACATGACAGCAAACTTTGCAGCAAACACATGCAAGACCATTTCTACACCTCTGTTTCTTACTGACCTCCTTGTGCATCTCGGAGACTCGGGCTGGATGGTGTAATTATAAACCACTGCATAATGTTCATAATGAATGGTGGAAACACCTCCAATAACAAAGTCCCCATCTGTTGAGAATGCCGATAAACGAGGTTTACCCTGCAGAGTACATTTCACAGATGAGGCCTCAGCAGCGACACCGGAGGTCTTTGACGTTTGATCGGAAGGAAATTGTTGTTTTAAGCCATTTACAAGGCCAGGCAGCCTGACCAGTGACGTCAGCTCCAACAAACTCAGTGCCAATCTCAAAGCAGTAAAAATGGCCCTGATCCCCATTTGTCAAGTGTCTCTACTCGGATCTTTCTGTCCTTTTGCCGATCTGTAAATCCCCTCCTCTTATACGTCAGATGATCTTTCTAGAAGAAAGTGTCCTCCCTTTGTGTTTCATTATGAAACATTCACAAATATAATTTCCACTTTGTTTTTTGCTAGTGCCAGTTCACCACTTAATGTCATAACAAATAAGGGAGAGAACATAGTTGATATTTTACATGATCTATAAATCAATAGTGAACAATAGAGGAAGGTCTGTTTATCTGAAATGTTTCTTCAAATACAACTTATTAATAAATATATATTTTTAGTGTGCATAAACATGAGTCTTGTTTTACACAAGCAGAGATTTTATATAAAATTAAAAGTAATTCCAATTTCAATTGAAAACGTTTTAGTCAAAATATAACAGAGTATTGTACAAAACCATTAGACGAATGAGAATAAATTCACTGAATATTCTTTTATTGGATGAATGTAAGTAGGTTGAATACGCTTTAATATAGGTCATGTCACATTTATAGTATGTTTTTTTCCAAAGAAAGATTTTTATTTTTTACTTTTTATTCATTAAATATTTCTTAGTGTTCTTCTCTGGCTGAAACAAAATGATGAAACACTTTGGAGCAAATATACACAGTATCAGTCCAAAGCTGGAGGCCAGAATAGCAAATATCTCCACAGCCACAGTAAATTTTCCAGGAGAGCTGACATAAGCTGGGATGAAGGTGATCCAGACGGCACAGAATATCAACATGCTGAAGGTTATC